AACACTTATGAACGTTCAAAACATTTCCACAAACTTCTTTGATATTCTTTGTGGCTACAGAGGCGTTGTTTCCCTTCTTGTATTCAAACAACATTCCATGCCAAATGTGTGTCTCGTCGTGTGTCATCACTATAAGAGATTAGAGTACACTAAACTTTACACATTATACCCTCGTCACACCAAACATGCTCGCCCTTTCAGCCGTGGGGGCGTTATAAGGTGACGGTCAATCCCACTATTCGTTGATAAAAGAGTAGTCCAAGAGTTAGCGGTGGGTGGTGATGACTAACTGCCTTCCCTCTAGTCTTACACTGCTAAATTAGGGACGGCTAGCGCAGATAGCCCTCGTGAAACTTTGCGCGAAATTCAAAACAAACAAACAAACACATTATATAGGCTACACTAACGTGACGTTTAGATAGTTCGTTTATCTATTATGCGTGATGTACGTTTTTTTTTGGGGGGGGGGGGTTAATGAAAGTGTTCCAAAACGCGACATTAATTTCTTGAGTACCTAATACAAGAATAATATTAATGTATGTATATAAAAAAACAAAGCCAAAGTATATACGTTCACAATGTATTTAAATTACGGCCAAAAATAATGCTAACAACGAGAGTAGACAATTGGTTAAACAATGAATTCTAATCATCATAAATAAGAACGTAAGAAAAGTATATTGTATTATCTATATTCATTACTAGGTTTATTTTTACTTCTGGATATCTAGGTTGCGTGCTTTAATAATAAGTTAATGTAAAATAATTAAATGATAACGTCAGAATATCTAAAAAAACGTATATAATTGACGTCAGTATATGTTCATAACGTAGATAAACAAAACTGTCGAAATATTTACAAATAGTATATAAATAAAACGTTAATGTAGCTTATAACGTACATAAACATCAATTTAAAAGTTTGTACGTAACGTACATATAAACAATAATGTCAATGTATGTATGTAACGTACATAAACAACAATGTCAAAGTATGTACATAACATATAGATATGTCAAAGTATGTACATAACACATATAACTATGTCAAAGTATGTGCATAACGTATATAAACAACAATCTAAAAGTATGTACATAACATGCATAAACAACAAGGTAAATGTATGTATATAACGTACATTAACAACAATTTCAAAGTATGTACATAACGTACATAAATAACAAGGTGAATGTATGTATATAACGTACATAAACAACAATTTCAAAGTATGTCCATAACATAAACAACAATATAAGAGTATGTACATAACGTACATAAACTACAATGTCAAAGTATGTGCATAACGTACATAAACTACAATGTCAAAGTATGTGCATAACGTACATGAACTACAATGTCAAAGTATGTACATAACGTGCATAAACAACAAGGTGAATGTATGTATATAACGTACATAAACAACAATTTCAAAGTATGTATATGACGTACATAAACAACAATGTGAATGTATGTATGTAACGTACATAAACAACAATTTCAAAGTATGTACATAACATAAACAACGATATAAAATATGTACATAACGTACATAAACAACAATGTCAAAGTATGTGCATAACGTACTTAATTAACGTGAAAGCATGATCCACATAATTCGCGCTATACTGTTGGAGCGTTGAGAAAACTGCTCTGAAAGAGACACTCTGTGATGCACCGTTTGGGCACCAGAGGGTTGTTCAGGCTAGATGCTTAATCTCATTATGTACTCACAGCAGGAGGACAAGTGTTAAGGAAGCCAAAGCTTACACTTGCAGAGCGCACTAAGCTAATTTTGCTATTTCCAAGGCCTGATTTACTGATTTTTTCAGGCCTGTATCATAGCACTTGACGTTATTAAACAATCGTCTGGTGGACAAATGAGGCGTCACAGAATGTATCTGTTATAAATGATTTTTAGTTCGCATATTATACTCTATGTAATCTCTAGTTTTCGCGATGCTCCGACAGTTATGCGTGAAATATGGGTCACCTTGATCATCACGCTTATAAGCCATTGTGTGACTTATGTGTCATCTGTTTGTTGTTGTTTTTCGTACACTCGCTGCGTTGCTTGGTCACGTAGTTGCTTTATGCATTTAGACATTATTGATATGAATATGACTTAAATTTTATTGAAGTTAACATTGAATATAGAATTACAAAATAAAACTAACAGTATTACTGATTTAGATATATTAAATTTATCATATATAGTTAAGAAAACGTTTAAAGAAAACATTTGTCTTTATCTTTCTTTCTTACGCGTATAACACGTGGTTTAACATATTTTGTTTCAAATCAATATTTTTGTAACGTGTTTAGCTTTAGCTAAGTCGATGTAGGATATTATTTCAGATTCATAATACGTCCAATGAATATACTAATTTATCAAAGCCATTGTTATAGACATTTGTTTAAAGCCTTGGTGAATAATTTGTTTGATAGTAGCGGGGATCGTGTTTGATAAAGAATATAACTGTATAGTAAATTATATTATTTACATTTTATAATACGAACGTACGCTGTTCCAAACAGTTAAGGCAACGTTGGAACTTGTAATGTTTTACCTACAGCCACGCAAAAATTACTGTTAGAAAATAAGGTATATATATTACTCCTCAGTTAATTTTTACGCAAGCGATTGATGACAGTTACGTGATCTCGAGTGTAAAATATTGGTCATTCAGCCCTTAAGCTTGTAAGTGAACAATTGGTAATTGTGGTTTTAACTCTTTGCAGTTCATAATATCTCATTTCAATACGGCGTATAGCCACTATGACACTAAAGCTGCTCGCTTAAAATCAAAAGAATTGTTAAGATACTGAGTTGTATTCGACCACTCCTCTGAATGGGCTATTTTCAATACATTTTTAGCATCTGGAGCCACTTGACGATATGTGACACGTCTCCCAAGGTCATTTCATACATTCTTGATGGGATTAAGGTCTTGTAAATGTAAAGATTGCTCCGTTCGATACTTGTTTTTCTTCCAAGAACTTCTTGACTAGTTTAAGTGAGGGTGGGTGCTATCATCCATCAGGTTGAAATCAGGGCCAATTGTACCAGCATGTGGTAGAACAAATGGACGTGGGATGTGAACCCTATCATGTTTGGCATCAATGGTACCATTCCACAGCATTTAAAGGCCATAAAAATCATCAATGGTAACATTCCACAGGATTTAAAAGCCATTACGTTCATCAGTTGTACCATTCCACAGGATGTAAAGGCCGTTACGTTCATCAATCGTACCATTCCACAGAATGTAAAGGCCCTTACGTTCATCAATCGTACCATTCCACAGGATGTAAAAGCTGTTATGTTCATCAATCGTACCATTCCACAGGATGTAAAGGCCGTTACGTTCATCAATCGTAACATTCCACAGGATGTAAAGGCCGTTACGTTCATCAATCGTAACATTCCACAGGATTTAAAAGCCATTACGTTCATCAATCGTACCATTCCACAGAATGTAAAGGCCGTTACGTTCATCAATCGTAACATTCCACAGGATGTGAAGGCTGTTATGTTTATCAATGGTAATATTCCACAGGATGTAAAGACCGTTATGTTCATCAATACTTATTCCTCCTCACACTATACTTTTCCTACTGCCATAATCATCA